GCATACAACAACCACTTAATACCTCCACACTCGCCGTATCCCACTCTCCTACATGTACCGCATAATATTTATTGATGTAAGGCGACCTGGGAAATAATTTATTCAGCCCGGTCGTTTTAAAAATGGCGACGGAAAGCGTGGGAAAAGACTTTTTACTATCGGGTGCAAATATGCCTTTGCCATCAATCAGCCTTGGCCCCACAGATCCGGCCTGCGGGTTGGCATCCATATAGGTTACGGTTTTGTGGAAAAAATCTTCCGGCATTACCGTATCCGGATTCAGAAAGAGAATGTACTCACCGGAGGCAATGGCAACGCCTTGATTATTGGCTTTTGAAAACCCTTTATTATCGGTATTAGCAATACGGATCACAGCAGGGAATTTCGTACGGACCATTTCCATACTGTCATCACCACTGTTATTATCCACAACAATTACTTCAACAGCCAAACCTTCCGCAGCTCGAAGCACCGAGTCCAGGCAGACCTCCAGGAAATACCGGACATTGTAATTGACAATAATAACACTAACCTTCATCAACAATAGCTATATAGGATATTTGAGCAGCGCGAAAATACGGGGCCATCTGCTAAATAACGAAAAACCAGGCTCCAGATTGTCCACATCAACACTTTAACTCCTGCCCACCGGTTCTTTTTGGAGATAAAAGCCTATCGATTGATTGCAAAAACAGCCTAGGCGGTAAGCTCGATCGATTATAATTCTACCAGACAAAGCACAATCAGCTTAGCAACCAGTATTTATAAAATAGTAAAAGCTGTCTTATAAAAACTGTCTGTTGCAAGCGGTTTTAAATTACCGCATTGTGCAACAATGGCAGTTATTTCAGGTACCTGCCGGGTAGCTATGCCGCGGCTTGTCTCTTCTGATTGACAATCATCTATTTGGGGGGTCTGCCGGTATCTATTCAATCCGGGAACGGTATGATAACCTTTGCTGCATTTTACGGAATTTATCAAAAAATTAAAGGCGGTCAAAGAAGAAACAAACTTCTAAATACGAAAGACTTCGTACGTTTGCTCAAAATCAACACAACAGCATTTCATGAAAAGAATGGTCCTTTTTATTTTCTCACTTACTGTTTCCTTCCTTAGTATTGCTCAATCCATTACCCGCTTTGAAGTGAGTAAAGCTTATGCGGTTTTAAATTTTATGGAAACGGCTGCAGGAACGGGTGCCGGTTCATCTAC